GATCCAATTCATTTGTGCCAAGCAATTAATCACCTTTTGCTTTCAATATTATTGTACATAGTGAATGTTATTAACTTTCTTTACATGCATAATCAATCTTTATTTTCACAGCAGAAGACTACATAGAAAGCACTATTACTAGCAGACACATAAACCAACTAACCGTTTGACCAGGGACCCACTCTTGATAGATACCATCAAATTGAGAATATTTGGTAACAAAGATAAGGTAGTGCAAGCAAAATTCAAAACATTCGCCCCAACTCATAATTTATTTACTCTATCCTTAATACAAGTCATATGCAATGGACACGTGAAAAACTAATCACTACCTAATAATAACAAATGGTTATTCCAGACACACACATAGCACAAATATTACTAGTTTTTAAATCTATTCCAGGTTGTAGTTATGTTATGGCATCACTATTTCTATCAAATAAAAAAGGTTCGATTTTCATACACAGTTAATCAAATTTTTATTCTATCAACCAATTAAAAATTATTTTATAGTTTTTATAAATAGTACGTTTTCTATTAATCATGTTTATTTTATCATCCACAAGACTTCAACACAGGCTTGCTTAAGGGATTAAATCCAGTACCACTCAAATTAACAAGTTGTTGATATTTATGTATAACTGAAAAATCATTACAAAAATGTTAAAATACTCTTTCAATTCCAATAATTTCACTTACTTTACATTTTAGTTTTTATAGTTTAAAATAGTAATTTTTAGTCCATATACTTATCTTTTTCAAACCTTTTTAATCATTATGATTTATGATAAATCCTTTTAGTTTCTTTACTTGCAGTTTTTTAATCTTTTAGTCCCTATTGTTAAGTTTTTTTTTTTTTTTGTAATATTATTTTGTGTTAACATGGTAGATGTCTTTAATTTGGTGACGATAAAAAAAAACTTAATAATGAATCTCACAAGTGAGGGTACAAAAGAGATACAAAACATTAAGAGACCTATTTACAGTAATTTCAGTAAAATAAATTTGACATCAGATACATAAAGTTGAATTAATACTACTGTTACATAAATACGGAAAAAAAAAAGTTAAAAAATAGTTAACAATAGAGACTAAAAGGTTAAAAAATGTAAATATATGAACTAAAAAGATATATCTTAAACTATAGGGACTAAAAAAGATTGAAAAAGATAAATATAAGAACTAAAAAAACCTATTTTAAATCATAAAAATTAAAAAATAAAGTAAAATGAAATTATAATTAAAAAAATATTTTAACCTTACAAAAATTAACTCTTATTGTACTTGAAAATTAAATTATAGGTGAAAATAACAAAGAAAACTATAGGTGTATTAATAATTAAATTCGACAGAATATTATCATTTTTACTTTACCAAAGGGTCAAACGAGATTTTGGGGATAGGATTAGGAAGGAGAACTCATATTTTATTGATCGTAGAGAGGAGTCAATGTTTCAGAACTTAAAAGGCTAAAAATAAGGAAAGCCATAGCCTTGTCTTTGTTGTTTTCTGCTGTGGCAGGATTCACCTATGGTTTTGTTTTCCATTTATTAAAGGGCACGGTGCATTATAAAACATGGAGGTTCCAAGGAAGGGCATTGAAGAAGTGCCATCTACTTTGGAAAATGGGGAAGTGGAAGAATTGCTGCATCAAGTTCTTGTCTATCTATTCAACAAAGACTTTCCTTAGCAAACTCAGTTCTCACTTGAGGATCAAACCTGATGGTAAAGTATAGACCGTGCTTCAGATTTTGTTAGCTAAACTGTGTAATCTTTATTCAACTTAATGTATGCTAAGAGAGTGTAAACTAGTTTTAATTTCAACCAATCAGATATTTCGTCAGTAAGACATTTTATATATTTATTTTAAAAGAAATGACTTACCATAAATAATAGTTTATGATTGAGTGACTGTGTAAGATTATTTTATATTTTCAATATATCACCTATTTTCTCATTTTATATATACGCGTAAATAATTTAAGCCTTAAGGTACTTAGTTTGTTTCTGGTGTTGTCCCTTACACTTTGTTTCATTGTGGTGTTAACTGCAGGGCACAGAAATGGGCTTGTTAATCTTTACAAAGATATGGAGTCTTTTGGTGAATATGAAGACATAAAAGTTATGTGGAAAATGATTGAAATTCAATCATCATCTCCTCAATGGACCTGCACCGTCAAAAGAACCAATAGGTCTTTATATTGGACACTATGCTTTCGACCAACTTGAATTGTTCCTAAAGACATCAAGTCAGTGAAGTGGTCCTAAAGTTGCTAGAAATACTTGTCCTGCTTTAGAGTGTGCTCAGAGGCATAGAGAAATAAATAAAATTGACATATCATAACCTCAAATAATCATGTCTATTACTATAGACTCTAGATTCCACTTATTGTCAATTCCCATTTTTTGTACCTAAAGTCCTACTCTATTGTCATTACTTTTGTTACCACGAGAGAGTGAATGCCTTTTAAGTTTAACGTATGATTTGGGTCTGAATTTCCTATTTTTCATTTGGTTAAAAAGAAATGAACTTTCTTTGCATGTGCATTTGTTATTGGATTCTCTGAAGGGGAATCCCCAAGATGAACTAAGCACATGAAACTACACACCAGCATTTTGATTGGGAATGCAGGCGGCATACGTGATGCTTTTGAGGAAACTTGAGCTTTGCAGCTTTTAACGTTTTTTCGTCTAATTTGGTAACTAAACCAATTTTTTTCACGTTTTATACAACTTCACGAGTTTCCCAGTCCAAATTCATATCCACATTCATTAATCATTCATTTTCCTTTCACTAAGGTGATTTACAGTTTAATTATTCCTTTTTATATAAATTTTCAAACCATCAAATAGTTTACTAGCACTGCACCCAAGTAGCCAACTTCATTTTTATTTCTAACAAAATAATTGCATGCTACAAATACAAACATAAGAGATTGTACATAAGACTACCAACACACAAGTTCCTACAGTATTATCACCTAGGAGAGACACTTATTCACTGCCCTACAAACACAGAACAACACACCAACTTAACATGGGAACAAACGTAGAAAGCAGGCCCTTCAAGATTACACATGATCTTCATCAAGAAGCCTTTGATCAAAGTGCCAAACACCTGCAACAGCAACAACAGAACAGTTATTCTATCATTGTAATGTAATGTAAAACAGTCACATACTAATTTGCCATGTTGACCAATAGCAAGTGAAATGAAAAGAAAAATTTTATGGGGCCATTGAAGAGATTATATATGCATACCATGACCCTTTCCAACTAATCTCAGTTGAGCCACATACTCTGCAATCTTTTTAATTGATTTAACCTGTAAAAAGGGAAACAAGATATTACAAACGCGAGATTACATTCTATGTAATGATGCAAATGTAATCATGATGTTATTGAAAATGGGCTTTAACGGTACTGAAATTTTGATTGAAAAATGCTATCATATCATATATTCAATGGTCAAGGAGTAATGTATCTTACCTGCTCATACAAAAACTCGCTCTCTATGAAATCTGCCAGCTGAGGATCATTGTTACGGCTTGCCACCTATTTCAGAAAGAAAAAAAAAAAGAAAGAGATTTTCTTAACAAGACACACTATCCAAGCACAAAACTCAAATTAATTGGCCATTTAGCATCGTTAACTATAGCTGTAAAAATCTGTGATTTTGTTAGAAAACAAATTCACTCCAAAGCTAGAGGCATTACACTATGAACATGCAGAAGTTTCTCATTTGTCAACTTCTCCAAAGACAAAGCTAATTCCATGGCTGAATCAAAGGAAAAAAGAAAACCAAGTCAGCATAGATATCAATTTAAACATGTCAATATGATAAATGAAAATGTATAGCACAACTTTATGCAGAGAAAAAAACATTCAGTGTTATGTAACTAAACATAGAATAGAAGCTTGAGCATAGAAAACAACAAACTCACCATACAAGGCATCTCCTTTCTCCGAATGCTCAAATTCTGAGGGAGGACTTGTAATAGGGTGCAGCACCACTCGTCCTCCACGAATGTTCTACACAGATAAGAGCCACGCATATCAATAAGTCTCAGTTCTCTTAATTTTTATTTTATTTGTCTTCCATAAAGACAGTTCTATTGATATTAGAACATTCACAATGTCTAGCTATACCATGAAAGATTTTCTCAGATATTAACTGAAGAACCTCCCCGAAACATTAGTTATAAAATTATGGATCTAGTTTGGTTTTAGCATTTAATATTAGCACACACTAATTTTTTTTATACTGTTATCTAAATAATGAAATTTTATGAAAACTATTAATGATAAAATTATTTTTTTATAATATTAAATTTAAAATTGACATCTAAGTAATTTTTAATAAATTCACAGATTAAATTTTTTTAGAATAACTCAAAACTAAACTATTATTTTTTCTTTAAAACAAACAACTTCAAAGACCCAAGGTAACACCAACCTGATACTTCATAAACTTTTCAGCGTGCTCTCTTTCTTCTTCACTTGATTCCTTGAAGAATCTGTTCACAAAACAACACGCGAAATCAAAAACCCATTAGATAAATAGAGGAAATAACAAGAGAGAAAGAAGAAGCACACGAGTTTGAAGTGATTAGTTACTTGGCAAGCCCCTTGAGAGCTATGTTGTCTCTGTCGAAATACGCAAACAGGGAGTGGTACACATACGAAACGTTGTATTCCACACTGAATCCAGAGTTCAAATACAATAAATCTATTAGCAAAACGACTTCTAATTAAAATAAAAGTAAACACTTGTCCATAAATAAATACATAAAAATAAAGTATTACATGAAGCACTACAGCTAAAATAATTAAACATGCAGTCCCTTAAGTTATTCAAGATCTTTTGTACAATTAAAATAAGTATTATACCTCGGAATTTCAATATAACTATGTTAGTGACGTTAAATATCCATCAACTTTGTCAACCACGTTTTTTTCTTTGGTTCTATTGAACTCATACACGAGATCTTGTTTAAGTTCCGCACAGATGAATATCACGTATCAATTTTTAATATAGATGTTTATTACACAAATTATAGAAAGAAAAAAATTGATCCGAAAATAACGCTAAAATTACTAAACAGAATTTGCTAATAAAAGCAAGACCCACATAAAAAAAAATGTTATTTTCATTCTATAGTTTTTTTTATTAAAAAAAAGGATCTTTAGCTCTTAAGAAATCCCACCCAAGAAATCACAAAGAAAAAAAAATGAAAGAGAACAAAGCCGATGAAATATTAAAGAATGAAAAGAACAATACTTGATCTGTTCATTGATTGCAGCTTCAGACTCATCTGCATAGTTCTGACGAGCCAAGGAAACATTTTGAACTATGGGAACAGCAAGGTAATCTTTCTTCAGCTCTTGAAAGGGTTCAAATATCACACCAGAGAGAGGTGCTGGTGCTGGTGCTGGTGCTGGTGCTGGTGCATTCGAAGCAGCACACACCCTCAAGTTCTTGCTCCCACCACCCTTGGTGGCGAAACTCAAAGAAGAAAAAGTGAGCTTTTTTGGAGCATCACCCACAACGGGTGAGAGAGAAAAGGAAGAAACTTTGGAACACGAAAGAGCCATTTGAGCAAAATCCCCCAAATGGGTTAAGCAGAAAGAAGAGAAATGGAGAAAGTAACAATGGCGTCTAAGAAGGGTGTGGTTGTGAATGAAAGGAGAAGGGCAAGGGTGATATAAGTAGTGGTGGCGAGGGGTGTTTTGGGGATATAAATTTATTTTGGACCGTTGGATGATGGGACAGGTGGAGGGCTGAGATTTGTTCTGGGTACGGGCGTGTGGCGAGCTCGTGGCCTATCCAGTGTGAAAGTGGAATCTGTGGGAATATCAGGTCCACGTCACAATCGGATATCTCTTAAAACTTAAGCCACGCGCTCGAGTATTATATCACTGAAATACTCGCGCGCACAGCGTTTCAATGAATTAGCACATCTCAAAATTTTCTTGTCCTATGTCATCTGTATCGTAATCTGTATTCTGTATTATTCGCATTTATTTTTTTTACTTTTCTAGTTGAATAGAATTTCATGTTTTGGGAAAATGTTTTACATAAACTTAGAATTTCATTTACATTGAGGCTTGGAGTGATTGTGAAAAACTAAAAATAGAAGGCGGAGATATAAAAAGAGAAAAGATAAAAATGATAAATATAATAAGTGATACTTTCTCTAATCCTTTTATAAGACTCCCAATGTTTTTTTTAATATATATAAAAATAAATTTAAAACATTTTTTCAATAATTATTTTTTGAATACCTTCAATTTTTATTAGTTTTTGTATGTTCAATAAATACTGATAAACAAAATGAGTTAAAATGTTTTTGCATGCCATTGACAAAGCAATATGGATTGCCTTGCGTTGCTAACCCTATTTTAGGATAACTTTATTTTTGTGTATTTTGTTGTTAAAGAAGGAAGAAAAATACTGATATACGTATCTTTTTATTCAAAGACACTTTACCTCAACTTTCCAACCTTATCTCTGACTTGACCATTACAAAACTTAATTAAGCTTACAATTCTCCAAGAATTACAATATCTACTCATTGTCATTTATGTTTCTAGAAAACTAATATCGTTGATTTCCTTTTATTTCTTTAACATTGTTTTAAATTTTATTCCCATCTTCTTAAAATGAACTTAACAAAATATTTGATACACGGAAAGTTTTTATCTTTTCAAAAAAAAATTAATTTTTCATGTTTTATTTTTTATTTAAAATATAATATTTTTAAAAAATATTCTTAAAAACATTTATAATCATTCAAACAAATTTTCATGATTCATGATTCTTTAAGAATCATGATTTTCATAAATCATTAATCATAATTTTCATATATGAAAAAAAAAATTTCTATACGAAGAATATGAAAAGTTACTTTTTCCTATTATCATATCAAAATGATTGCCTTTTTTTCCCCTCTCGTGCAACGTTCAAGATACTACAAATTTAATGTATGCAGAATTTGTCTTTCTTATCGAAACACATTTTCTTTCCTTTTTTTTCTAATTTGGTGTAGGCAAAAAATTATTTTACATTTTATTTTATTTTATGTAAGTTGTAATATTGGGAGTCAGATATCCTTTTGGATGTGGCTGGCGAGGAAAATCCAAGTTAAGATTTTGAGTCTTCTTCTTTATTTAGGTCCACAAGATATAGGAGGGGTCTTTGTTGATGAATGATGCAATTTGACTTGCAAGTGTTGTTTCTTGATGATTTTGAGTTTTATATGATGTATGTGAATGGTAGGATGCAATGCATGTGTTGGATTTGTTTTTTATTTCAAGTCTTGGAGGCAATTTTTGTGATCTGCAAGTGTAAATTTTTGGTGTCACATTGAGCGTGCCTTTGTTGCGTCAAGCATAGTTTCAATCAGAGGTCTTTGTCTCGTTCACATCGAACACAAGATTAGTGGTGTCAAGCGTGAAAAGAGAGACTCGTCTTGGATCAGGATAGCGTTGGACGTGGTTTGAATGACACCGAACATGAGAGCATGGAAAAGTCTCTAACTTGGTGGCACCAAACATGATCAAGATAAAGACTCCTTGTTTGGATGATGTCAGACACCACTAAAGTGACACTAAGAATGAGTCAAGTAGAGGCTCTTTGCCTAATATGAGGTTGAGCGTGATTTTGCCACGCTAGGTGTGAAATCCTAAGGGATCTTTATCTCAGTCACATCAAGCGTAGTTTGGATGGTGTCAGATGTGAACGAGGCAAAAAACTCCCTATATCAATGGCATCAAGCGCAAGGTATGTTGCGCTGGGCACGGGATGCCTAGATTATGGGTGTGTTTTGGAATGTTGTGTGATGAACATGATTAGATGTATGCATTTCTATTGCATGTTGTATGAAGCATGCAAGTTGTAGTTCTATGCATGTTAATTGGATGTAACATATATAAATGTTTGCATGGTGTTGGATAATGATGAATATATGTATGTTGTATATATGTATGATGTTGTTGATCTTTATATGTATTGATTGGATGTGATGTATATAAATGGTGTTTGCATAAGGTGTGGATGCTGAGAATGTAATATGACATTAAGGTATGCTGGCTAATTTAGGACTTAAGGAGAGAAAATTGGTTTTGAAAATTGAAGATCCTACAAAGGAAATCTTGGAGTGGTGCTTAATAGGCCACTATTGGAAAACCCTCCTTGAATAAGTGTATTTCTTGGAGTGGATTTTGAGGTGTGTTGATGTCTCCTTTAAGTCCTTAGTTAATGATTGAGTAAAGTAGGACATCGAGGGCTACAACCCTTAACTAAGTACCTAAAAAGGTTGTATGATTCTTTGAAGATAACTAGTGGGCTAACTCCACATGTGACTTGGCAATGTAAGCCAAGGTCTTGGTATGTCTATACCCAATTGTATCACTCCTAATGGTGGAACCAAACTTTCCTAGTGTAAGTGACAAAATTTGAGAAATCAAAGGAGGGATTGATATCCCATTTTACTATGATTGAGTCAGCACATTGGACGTGAAAACAATTGGGTTGATTTGGTATGATGAAGTCACTTAGACTATTCATATTACTAGGAGATCTTTGTATGTAAATGCGTGACGACGTATTATTTGAAGTGTATGCATGTGATGCATGTTGTGGTGTATTCATATGCATTGTTGGATGTCTTGTTTAACATGGTTTGGATGAGATATGTGTTAGCTTGGAGTGTTTAGCTTTCATATGTTTTTGGTATGATGTTGTATGATATAAAATTATTTTCTATACTTGCATGTTTTTTGAACTCTCTATGATAATCATACTTTATATGAGAGCAAATCAGAGTTAAGCTTGAGGGGTAGTTGTTGGCAGGTGGTGTGACCTTTTGTTGGTGTCCATGCTACCTAAGGTAGTTTGTATATTTATGCTCGATGAGCACTAAGACATTGAATTATTTTGGGAGTACTATATATACATGTATATAACTTGTTTATATTAATACACATGTTTTACTTTTATATTTACTTTCTATATATATGTATGACACATTTTTTCCTTTAGTCATGTATGTTCTAATTATCTAGTTTCAGCCACTAGTAGTAATTTTAGTTAGTGTAGTGATCATGACGGGTCATTATACAAGTACTTTATTTAATTAGTTTGATCATATTTAAATAAATTTTTTTATTGAAAAAAATAAAAAGGTAAAAAAAAAAAAATAGTTTGATCATTTTACTATGTATTACATCTAATAAAAAAAAATTACAGGAGCAAAATACCCTGATTCTTGATGGATTTAATTTAGTCGCACATTTATAAAACAAATTAGCACAATCCATCTAAAGTAATATGTGTGAGATTGAACTGAATTAAATTTAAAGATTGTGGACGCATACATAAGTTACAGATTAATGGCACATAAGCATACATTAATTTTATAGAATAAAAATATTCTCACTTATATATATTATAATATTTTTTTTTATCATTGTAAGATTTCCAACAATATTTGATCAAATAAAAAAATAAAGATTTTACTCATAATCATATGTATAGACGTGAATTTGTCATTTATAATTTTTATAAATAATATGTATTATTTACTATAGATATTTTTATTAAAATTAAAATTGAATAAAATCATAAAAATATTATAATAATAATTTTTTCAAATATTTAATCAATTTTAATACCATTAGAAAGTAGGTTTAATTAGTCCAATCTTACAAAATATATTTATAAAATAAGTATTATTTTGTATTATATATACTATTAATCTTTTTGTTAGTTGTTTTGAAAGTTTTAACATGTATAAGAATCTTAATGATTCAATGATTAATATATCTTGAAAAGCAGTTTTAGTCTTGAAATCTATTATGATCCAATGGAGATTTCGAGAATTACTTTACCTATTTATTATTATTATTTTTTTTTTCTGATGAAGCATGGAGAAATGAATGTGAAAGTGGAAGGAGCAGAGTTTAGACAATCGGGCAGATGCGAAATTTGAAGAAAAATGTATAGCTGTCTGTCACAATTCAAACGCTAAAGACAAAAACACGTGTCAGCCCCACTTTGTCGTTTTCACCTTTTTCACCACGTCATTTATAACAAATTTAGTTAAATATATTTTCAGATTATCTTTATACGATTTAATGCTATATTTTAAAAAGGATTCAAATAATTATAAGTTATAAAAAGTTTATTGATTTAATAAATATATTTTAATCATATTCGAATATTTTTGTTTTATAAATTAACTGTGTATAATAAATATTAAAATTAATATAGTGCGACGATAAAAATAGGTTGAACTGCCATGTATTATTATTGAGTCTTTAGGTAGGTACTAGAGAAACACATAAATAAATTTATTTTACTACATAAGAGTGGATAAATTAAGCTAACGAGGGAAACAATTGATTTCATAAATAATTGTATACTATGTCTTTTTTAATTACGTTATTGATGCAAACTTTACATATTTGCGGATTGTCTTTGCTAGAAAGTTTTGGAAAACTCATAATATATATATATAAAAAAAAAACTACTAATTTTTGGGGATAACTACGTATCAAAACAAATTATATTGACAACTTCCTTGAGTATGTGATAATATTATTATGATATGATAGAAAATGCATAAACTAATTATTTCGTAAGAACATGGTCAATAATGCCCGGTTATAGAACAAATTGAAGAAAAAAATTGAAATTAGCGAAATCTTACATATAGTTGAAAACGTAGTATATAGTATATCATGACCCTTTAAAAAAAATAATCAGTATTCAACTTTAGGATAAGCTTGTAAGAGAAAGGATATACTCGTGTAACGATAATTCTGGAATAGAATAATCAACAAAATTTACTATAATTAATAAATAATCTTAGGTACGTTAATATATATATATATTTTTTTTTATTTTAGTTCAGGAGTAATGTTATCTTTTTCCTTTTTACGTAGATTTTTTTGGTACATGGAGTAACGTTATCCTATTCCATTGTGTTGAATTTTTTAAATTTAGTTAAATGTTATTATGATTTTTAATTAATAAAATTATAATTACAGTCACAAAATTTTAACCTAAAATTATATATATATTATTCAAACTCTTATCACCAACTAACTCTGGTGATTTGCTAAATGTTATTATGGTAATGAAAGAAATATGTATTACATTTTTTAAATAACTCCGATCATTAATTAAAAATATTTTTTGTCAAAAAAAATAAAAATATTAATTAAGCTTATGTAAAAATTTAAAAAGCGTGCATAAAAAATATTTTACTCTTTTTATTTTAAAAAGAGATATAGGGAGCATGGAATTTATTTCTGTCGAAGTAGCATGAATAAAGAATGTAATAATATTTATTTTAATTTTTAAATTAAATAACTTTATTAATATTCTTAAATAAATAATTCTAGGCTAAAAAATCAATAGAAGAAATATTATTTTTTTAATTATATAAAATATTATATATTTCAGAGAAGTGTTGACAACATAAATTTTTTAATACATCATAATATACTTTTATTAATTTAATTTTATTAAACATTATAAAATCACCAATATAATTTATTAAATTAAAAGTGCGACTCAATGATTTTATATATTATTTTAATAAATTTTAATTAATAATAAAGAGTCACTTTTGTTTTCTGATTCAAACAAAGGGAAATTATTTTCGCTCGTTTTCTTCCTAATTTTATTTATTTAAACAATAATTTTTTTGTACTTTTTTTTTCCTTCTTCCTACATTACTCTTTCCTTTTTTTTCCCTCTACTTTATTCTTGATCCAAACAAACAATAGGCCCAAGACTTAGAACCTCAACATAGACACTTTTATATTTATTATAAACACCTATTTAGCATTCTTATTTTTCTTTTTATCGCATCATATTTCCTTTGATTAGGATAGATTATGGTATTAAATGCATAAAGTTTGCTGCTTTACATATAACAAAAATAATAAAGAAAGTGAAAAACTAAAATATCATAATTACATAAAATTTTCTTATAAATTAAAATTAACACATGTGAAGCATGTCAGTCGATTTAGTGATAGAAGATTAGAATAATATATATATAAATAAGTTCAAATTCAGGTGTCATCATTATATTGAAAAAAAAACAAACTTATACTTAAATTAATTTGTAAAAGCTATCTTATTTTAAATTTTAACTTACACATAACTAAGTTTTACTTATGACTATGTGATAAGTTTATTTTGTTTTACTTTCATATTTCTTTATTTTTTCATATAAAATTTTTATAGGTTTAATTTGGTTACACAAACTTTACATTTTAGTTCATACATTAATGATCATCATTTTAATTTTGATACAAAGATTTTTTAACTCCATTTTAGTCTCTGCGGTAAAAAAAAATAAAAAAAAATAATGTTGTTACTCATAAATGACATAATATTAATGTGACATTAACATTATATTGAGTCATTGACGTGTGTTACATTTTATGTTTTAATCTCTATACTTGCGTTTTATTTACATTTTGATCATACTTGCATAATCTTAACATTTTAATTCCTTCACTTGCACAACCTTTATATTTTAGTTATTTCATCTAGAAATTATTTGTTTTAGTCCTCTACTAGTTTTTAATTTTTATTTTTAATGTTGTAGCCCATCAACACCTATCACATTTGTACAAGGTAAAATTAAGAAATAAAAAATCTTCGTGCTAGATTGCATTTTATGAGCAAAAAAAATACCTCTGTAGCATTCCCTTGTAAACTGTTTGGTTACTGCTTGCTTAATTAAACCAATCACGTGCAAACGGGTCAATCTATCTACATGATTAGTGACGTTAAAATTTGGTATCTATTTCTTTCGTATGTATTTCTTCTTTCTTGTGAAATATCAAATCAGCTCATTGTCATTTCAATGCAATTGGCTAATGCTGGGACGAGCCTCATGGCTTTAGTAAGTTTGAAACTGCTGCGTGGATACCATGTGCCCAGGACCACGTGATGTTGTGAAATTAAATCATCCATGTTTTTTATAGCAGGCAATAGTCAAATTTGGATATTGATATGTGAGATTTCTTGCTTGCAGACAAATGTGAAGTTTTGGGCTTGTGGATGCCACGCAACTCTTAAAGACTTTAATCTCAAGTTACTTTCAAAGACTTGAATAAGTTCTTCTAAACACTCCCTAATTAAAAAAAAAAATGCAAATTACACTGATATATTCCTTGTGGCTTGACACTGTACCCTTCTTGTCTATTTAATATTTACGGTAGTCCCCTTAATTATTTGAAACACGTTACATATACATGGTATATCTCTATTACACACGACACACATTACATTGTAGGCATTAAAAACATAGGATATGGTGTGAAATTTCAAGAAATCACATGGGGTGTCAATGTAATTTGTCCTAATAAAAATAAAATATACAAAATCAAATATTTGTATAATATTTATCTGTAGTTAACATTGTTTATAACCCATTTATAGAACCTCTCCACTACTCACCCCTTAACATCTATTTTTCATATTTAGAATCGATCCACACTCCTAATGAACCTAATAGTATTGATCAATCTTCTGAATCATTCTCTTCATTGTAATTGCATAGTAAATCCTATTATAATTGCCTTTTTGTCTTTCTTGCATAATAGTGACAAAAACTAACGTGAAAAATGCAACTACTTCATCATAGACAAGTACCAAAGGGTTGTTTCACTTCATCAAATCTCAACAAGTGAATCCAGGGGCAATATTTGATCACTACTTACAATTACCAATCATGCAAAAGGAGATTAAAAACTCAAAATGATCCACAAGAACAGACAGGGGTTTTACAGATTGTAAAACTACTAACAAACATGATGGAAGAAGGGTTTTGTTTTAGAACTTATCTACACATATACCATCTCTAGTAACCTCATATGCTTCCCTACTCCTTTGTTTCCTCATGCCAGCTGTCACATGGAGCTTGGCTCCCTCCGTTGTAATGGTCGTCACTTTCACCCAGATCAACACTTTTGTCTTGATTCCTTCTATCTCTGCTAGCTTTCCTTTCTCCAGAAAGCCGGTCACCGTGGTGAAGAAACGCAGGACTGATGAATCCTTGTAGCCTACTTCACATACTTGAGGAATGTAAACAACGAGCTTCCCTGTCTCTTCAGTGAATTCGTAGTTTGTTGCATCACGCGGAAAGATTCCTATTGGTAGATCATACTCCTTTAGCAACTCTGGTAATGGCTTTTGCATCTTTCCTGTAAAGTCATTTTTGTGAGAGCTCAAAAGTAATGCCAATTGAAGTAAAAACAGGGAAATTAAGGGATGGCTTCACAGTTGATTTGCTGACCCCAAGTATGATAAAAATAAAATATACGAGGAAAAGGATGTATGACTCATCTTGATAAAGGGTTAGCATGTTTTCAAAATCCATGAAAGTAGAATGCTAAATCCAATAAATAATTAGTAATGCACCAAGACTCAACAAGCATACAAATTTTCAAATTATGAAATAATGATTAGATAAAAAGATTATATGCAACCTGAATTACTGAATTCAAATACAAATTACATTTCTTTTATCAGGTTTAAATTCCAACTTGAAATTCTACAGCTACAATAAATATTATGATATTTTTAAATGCCCTTAAATAAAGAAGATATCTGTTGATAAATACTAACAGTGATATGTCAAATAGGACAATGTGATTTTAAATCATGTGCTTAAGTAAAACTTTTTTGGATAACGGACATTTCAGGAAGTGGAAAAATAAAGCAGAAGCATTGGTTGTTTTATATCATATCATTAATGTCAAACAGCTTTAGATCATTTCCGTTAACCGAAATTATAGAAGTAAAGATAACAGATGGTATAACCAAAATATATGTTTTTAATTAATTTTAATTGTAACAAACTAGAAAAGCAAATAAATAATTTAGTTAGAGTAAATACAGCTAAAGTCCTTATGTGTGCAATTGAAAGATGAAAGGATAAGATATGAAATGATAGCACACGAGGAGATATGAAATGACGAGATAGAAATGATAGCACACGAGAAGATATTGGTGTGGCATCAATTGAAGACAAGATGACACACAACCGGTTAAAGTGGTTTGGACACATACAAAGAAGGCCACTAGAAGCACTAGTGAGGAGATTAGATCGCATGCTTTTTGGTCTTGTGAAAAGGGGGAGAGGGAGACCAAGATGGACATTGGAGAGAGTTATTAAGAAGGATCTCATGGTAAATAACATCTCTAAAGATTCGATCTTTAGATCGTATGATCTACATAAACAACCTCACCTAGTGGGACAATACTCTTGTTGTATGTCTGTCAGGGAACCACCTATTACTAAGATATATATTAGGAAAGAATGCAGAGAATCTGAGCCTCTCAGGAAAAGAAAGGTTAATGCAACAGATTGCAAAAGTGCTAATCAAGAGGAAACAAGATGACAGGAAGGGAATGATTAATGTAACAGATTGTAAGGCACGCAACGGGAGGGAAAAGGTGATCATGAGTCTATTTGGATACAAGTTAAGAAGCAGTTTAGAGAGTTTCTCTACTGAAAATAAAGAGTTTCTTTTTTAATAAAGTTTTCAAAAACACTTCTAATTTATATTCAAACAGACGTCAAGTAAGGATGTACAAAGGAGAGGAGAAAACATACAAGATTAAGGAAAGAGAGTGAAAAATGAGGGGGAGTGCAGAGTCTCTTGGATACCCTGTGTTTCCTATCACCTGTTTCAGTTCTGTCTTCCATTGCAAATCCACCACACAGTTACTGATACCACATTGATGTCAATATCCACATTATAACAGAGTCGATTCACCATAACTGGGTGGGTTTTGATCTAGATTCTATCAATGCCTTTACTTGGCATTACAAGGATAAAGAAAATGAAATCCTAAATGTTGCTCGGGTTTCAGTACAGGACTTGTAGGAATGTTTGAAAAACTGATAGAAATAGAAAAATACAAACCTTTTATTTTGTTGACCAACCATTTGGTTCCCCCTTCAATACTGTTTGACATTGACTGATGATCAAAAGAAAAGTTGTCAGTATTGAAATTACTCACTCAGGCAATCATAATTCTTCATCATTTACATTTGCTGCAGTCTGGCAGAAACATTAACATTCACAATTGGACACATACAAAGGGTTCATTATCTTATCTCTATCAGCGAGATGAGACTTGTAACAAATATCTAATTGCTTTCAATTTACCAGCAAAGGGAAAAATCAAGCTTAAACTCTTAACAGTTGCACTTGCACCTTGTTCCTACTATCCATAATCATAATATCAAAGACATCTTCTATACCCAAAGCAGGAACATTTATATCCTAAGTCAAAATTTGATCAAATGTAACATAACAGGTAGGTTTCCATTTCCATAGGATGTCATGCACATGCACCTATCTAAAAAACTAATAGTATTCACATTAATTTTTCAGATCCCGGGAGAATCACAATTCACAGACCACATCCCCATGTTTCATATTCGCATAAAAAAATCAACCATAATTGTTATTATACTTCAAATTGAAAAACACCCTTCTGGGCATGATGAAAAATGTGAAATTTAGAAAGAAAAAAGGAAAAGGAGGTGTTGGGTACATACATTGATGTCATCGCCGACAGAATTGAGCTGGCTGGAGGCTTTCTGATTGAACCAATAAGATCCGACCTTGTTGATAATCTGATCCATTTCGTTCACAACGCAATCTGTTCGATCCAAAAGGATCTTCTTCTCTCCTTCAGACAAAGAGAAACACAGACTTGATGTGAATGAATGTGATGGAGAACAACCGTGCCTGCTTCTTCGCTTCAAGTTTTCGTCACATTCAATATTTATTTATTATTCATGTCATATTTTTCTTTCCATTTTATTATTACTCTATTTGTATTTATCGCTTTTATAATATTTTTCAGTCTCCAATTAGATGTCTCTTTATAATATTAAAAATCATATTAATTATTTTCTAATAATATTTTAAAAATAATTACAATTTATTAAAGTGACACCCGCAGATTCTTTAAACAAGATTTCTAATTTAAGTAATATTTTCCACCAATGAAAAAAAATACAATTTATTAGATGTAATAATTGTAACCATACAATGTAATTCATTATTTATGAAATAAGAGTATTTTACACATATAGGTTTATTTTTACCTTAAGAATTAATATAGTTATTTACTTTTTTTTTTAAGATGTGCAAGTTACCTTAAATGTAAATAAAATCACACGGAACAAGTATCTTTTAATCTAACTTATGGTTTAAAGAAGAGCTTAATTTGTAAAAAAAAAAAAGAGGCTAATTTTGACAAAAAAAAAAAAGAGTACACTAATTCAATTCTAAATTGTGATATAAATGTAAAATTATTGACTTTTGCATTTAGAGTTTAATTTTATCATAAAAAATTATAGAATAAAGTCATCTTGATCTTTAAAATGTTATATTAGTTCTTGACACTAAGAAGACGTCAAATAAAATTTCAGAAATAAATTCCTAAACTTAACTTATCGTTGTCATTTTATTCACTATATATCAATATTATTGACATTGAGATAAAATGTTATATTAGTTCTTGACACTAAGAAGACGTCAAATAAAATTTCAGAAATAAATTCCTAAACATAACTTATCGTTGTCATTTTATTCACTATATATCAATATTATTGTCTTAGTGTCACATTTGTTTCAGATTTTGGACTAATATGATTATCAACATTCTACACTTTCAAAAGTATAACGTAGCAAGTTCAGAAGGCCCATGGCCAAGTGTGTGGGTAATTTAGTAGTCTAGAATAAGTCGTCCCAAACTGGAACGGGCTGTTCCAAACTACTAAATAGGCCTATGAATCTTAGACTTGAACGGGCCGTTCCAAAATGGTCATTATGATTAGTTAAATTCAACTCCAGAACGGGCCGTTCTGGTTTAAGAACGGGCCGTTCTGGTTTAAGAACGGGCCGTTCTAGACATGCCAAAATGGGTCGTTCTAGTTTCAGAACGGACCGTTCTGCATGTGAATTTTACACATGATGAAGGAGCTCAGAACGGGCCGTTCCGGATTCGAAACGGGCCGTTCTGGCCACTTCAAACTTCTATAAATAGGACTTGTGTACAGATGAGGAGAAAGTGAGATTTTAGAGAGAAGTTCTAGAGAGAAAGACTCTAGACTAGAAAGCTTACTTTTGGAGGATTGAAGTTCAAGAGTCAAGCTTTGGAGGATATTTCTTCTTCTTTTTCTTCTTCTCAGATTCTTGGCTTTTAGAGCCAATATCCAGGTAAGGGAAGCTAGATTGTATGTTGTTTGATTATATGTGAGTTTAGGAACTCATATGGAGTAAGAATGTTGAGAATTATTGATTGATTTGAGGTTATTTTTGAGTTGTATGGAGTTGTATAATTACATTGAGATGTATGATGAGTAGAAAGTGAAAAGAAGAGATGCATGTTGAGTATAGTGTTGTAAAGGAAATGAGTAGTTGTGTCAAATAGCAATGTGTTGAATATGTGATATGTTGTTAAAGTTGCTATATGTCATGTGTAGACATTTATATGTTGAGAAATATGATGAGATGTTATAGTTGAAAGTTGTGAAATGCATGGTGATAATATTGTTGAGTTGTGAGAAGCATGATGTGAAGTGTGTAGAGATTTATATAGGTGTTATTAATAGATTGTGTTGTTAAGTTGTTAGAGGAGAGTTGTATGTTGCTATAAAGTTGTTAAGATGCCTATTGCTGTAAAGTTGTTATGATGCTATAGTTGTAAAGTTTTCTATTGTCGGAAAGTTGTAAAGTTGCCTATTGTTGTAAAGTTGAAAAGTTGGGGACATATGGTGAAGATATATGTCCTATGTTGAAATACATAGTACTAAGGTGATAAGTTGAAAGTTGTTTTAAAGTTGAATCCCTTAGTACTGTGTGGATGACATGGAAGTAGTCAATCCATGTCATGGTTGAATGACCAATTATGAGCTGAGCTGTGCTGTTAAGTTGTAAGCTTATTAAGCTGTGATGATGAGTTGTTGATCACTAGGACTAGGGGAGATGTTTTCGAAGTTGCTCATCCCATTGTGTGGATTGAAATAGTTGTGGTGCTCTAAGAGCCCAATTTGTTGAAAAACCCTCCTTGGGAAGTTGTCCCTTGGAGTGGACGTTGTGTTGTCCTCCTCTAGGACTTAGTTGATCCCGTGTGTGGGCAAGGTCGAGGCACACGTGTACAAAGCGACCACGGTATAGGGACTAGGTCGAGCTATACCGATTACAAGCAGCCAATTTGAGTAAGGTATCTAGTTAGAGATGTAGTCTTTGACTAAGTACTGGAGGGTGCGTGGTACTTGGAGGACAGTGTGGTAGGCTCATACCCAAAACCTTTCTGTCGTGACAGTAGTACTGGACCTCCGAGTCTAAGTGGCACACCTGAGCAATCGCCTATTGTTGTCTATACCTAATTCTCTTTAGAGTTCCTAACGATGTCCTATACCTAACCTGGTTAAGATAGGTCAAACGCTGGATTCGGTAGGGTTTATGCCACCTAGACTACTCACCCATGTTGTAGGAGATCTTCGAGTTGAAATGCGTGACGACGCATAAGTTGTTGATGAGTTGATTTGTTGTTGATACGAGTTGTATATATGTTGTTGTGTTGTTAAGTTGTGATTGTGTTGTATGTTGACCTTACTGAGGGTGATGATAGTGTTGTTATGTTGTAAGTTGCTTTTGAACATGTGTTGTTGAAAGATGTATATAATACATGTGTTGGTTGTTGTTATGTTGAATATAAGTTGAAATGATGTTAAGATGTATAGTATATGTGTTGTTTGTCTTCGTGTCGGATGTGAAGATGATTATATAGTTGTTGTGTTTCATATTTAATTATTATGAATTGTTTATTATCTCTAGCTTAGCCTTGCATGTTTCCATGTGGTTTGGACTGCGATGATCATACGATATATGAGAGATAGCTGCTAGAGGCCACAGGAGGTGCCTGGAGATGAATATTTTTTTTTTGTAGGCTACCTTAGAATAACATATTTTGTTGTATATATAACTGGTTGATGTTGGTTGCTTGATTAGCAACTTGTGTTATAAATACGTTAATATATTATTTTAGTATATATATTCTAGTAGTGTGTAGTGTTGTTTCGTAGTGTGATGGCCACGGTGGTTCGTTACAAAAAGTCTATTTAATATTAATATTTTAATTTATATAATGTACAAATTAAATATTTATTATATATAAAAAATTATATAAGTTATGTATAAAAATAAATATTAAATTTGAATATATAAATTACATTTAAAATTTACATAAAATATCTTTTTAAATATATGAATTATATTTTATATTTTATATTTATGATAACTAATTTATATTATAACCCCATTCTATTTTTTTTTATAATTTATTTTAAAAATATTAAAATATAATTTATAAATAATTTTAATAAATAAAAATCAAATTAGATAAGAAAGCAAAAAAATTCTTAAAATTGTCTCTTCGAAACAATTCTTAAAAATACTATTATACAAGATAATCATTTATGTTTATGTTTAATATATAAAGATTAATTTTCCTAAAACAATATTTTTTACATATTCAGACCAAAATTACTACTTTCCTCAAAATTTTATCAACTAATTAAAAATTTGTATTGATTTAACTATTAAAATAATTATCATTAAAGTTAAAAATTTTAATATAACGATAATTTATAGTTAGATGACATGCATAAAACCTTTTCATTGGTCCCAATTAAATTCTTATAATGATTATTTTAGAGGTCTAAAGTAATTTTGAATTATCTGGTAATATAAAAATATTTTTGATGATGATAGTGTATCTATATTAATTTCTTTTAAGAAAATTATTTGGTAATTATCTAATTTAGTTTTATATTGTTTATCTATTATTTACGGACTCTTTTAGTTTTATCTGAGTTTTACATTATTAATGAGAATAGCCCTTATCATAAAATAAGTATGAGTAATTAACAGTCTCTACTCCTAAGGTTTGTAAAAATGTCACTGAACCCATTTTTTTATTTTTGGCAAAATTACAGTTTGCTCCATTTGGGAATGAAACATATCAGCAATGGAAGCATATGCCACGTACAATGGTTGTGGGCAAAGGGAGTAATGAAATTAAATCTTGGAATCTATGTCAGATCTGAAGCTTCATTTGAGATGAGAAGTGTTACTTTGGAAAAACTTGTTTATACAACAACCGAGGTTGACAAAAGATTGAAAAGTTGTTGCTGTGTGTTGTTTGTTTTGTTAAAGGGTTGGACTAAATTGAATGATGATTACTTGTAGTAACGTTTGTTTTATGGAATGATAAAACTTGAGACATTGTTGGGCTGTTAGAGTGTGTAATTCGAATTCTGATACGCCTTTGCAATAACATTTTCCAGTCACAATAGATGAACACAACCAGAGTATATAATATGCTGTATTCAACAGAATGGAACAAATATGGGTTGCATGTAATAACACAACATTTGATAATTAGTTGGTAGTGAGATCGTGTGTCTTGATTACACAACATTCTTAGGTCACAGCAAAAACAATTATAAACAAATCATAGTAATAACTTACTAAAAGATCCTATACCCCTGATAAAAAAATGTCCATAAAATCTAAGCTTTCCCAAAAACAATAAGGCCTATACACAAGATTATTATTGTCCCAATAATATGACAAACAATGATTTATGATTGCTATTTTTGTTTATTAAAATAATTATAAACAAAAAAAATAATTAATTTCCCATTTGTTTACTTGTGCTGTCACACTAACAAGAGAACAAAATCCTATTTGGCAGGTGTGAAAAAATGATTAATA